ACCAAAAAAAAATTGCACAAACATAGGCTTAGCCTTCCTTCCACTACTAATTATGAATGACAGCGGAAATAGTGACTCTGATGAATGTTTCCTTGCATTTACCAAGATTTTTAGTGGGGTTCTTCATGCAGGACATAAAATTTTTGTGCTTACAACATTGTATGATTCACTAAAGCAATTCAACTATTATGATGTCCAAACAACAAGTAGTTGTACACACAACACATATACCTATTATTCTTTGATTAAAAAGTGGGGGGGAAATCTCGAGAGAGATCGTTAACTGAAAAAATAAAATGATTACACAATTTTTCCACCAACAGATATATAAAGTGAATGTAATTATAGAGAATTGGACTTACATGTACATTTCGAGCTCATTCACCAACAAAAGATTTTCCATCATGACCATGTGTATGGACATGCAAATGTAACTCACTTGGTGTTGGATCTCGACCCTTTTCAACAGCCTATCAAGGAATTTTTTTTAAAACATATGAAAATGTAAAAATTTGAAAGAATTATATGATGTAATATATGATAGTATAAAAAAGAGCTCACAAACTACAAACACACTCTAGAAAATATGGCAGTCAGCCCTTTTTTCTCAATAAAAGTGGCCTGCAATGCAACTTCAAAAATTTAACATCCTAAAGGTTTAAGATTATGCATAACAGAGAAGGAATTCACATACTTTTGGATCAATTCAGCTAGCATTCTCCTAAGTAGAATATGAGTCATTATGCCCAATCAACTCTCCCTTCCTATAAACCTCCAATTTAGAGTCTAAAACATTTATTGTGTGGTAAAACAAACCGATCACTACAAGTGTACATGACAACCAAATAAGTAAAAACGCAATCCAATACAATTATAGCAGCAAAGCTTTATCAATAATAGGGAGACTTCACATGTTGCTTGAGTGCTTCATTTGTTCAAAAACCAAGACACTGCCTAGCGCACACAAATTTATATGAAATGTCTGCTTAATACGTTATTATGTACTACTATTCCTATTCACAGTTAGAACTCATTACTACTATATATTATGCATATAAAGTAAATTAAGGGTGTGCGAAAATATGCTTACAAGTCTCTTGCGATGCTCTCCAATAGTAATAGAGCCTCCCGTGTGAGTCCCCTTTGCAACAACATTATGACTGCCACAACGGTTTTTTGAATTTATTTTTGACTTTTCAATAACCTTGGGATCTTTCCAACATCTCATCCAACTTTCCCATGTTTCTTCCGGAACATATTTTGGCCGAATTGCTTCTTTTTTTATGCAAGAAATAAAATCACTGTACCTTCTCGCTGCCTTCTTACGCCATAGTATCTTCACTTCACTATCAATGGAAGGATCCCAATAGAATTGCTTCTAAAATAATTTTACAAGTAAGCAACATTAGCATACAAACCTTCAAAAGTGATGTAAATTTATTTTTATTAAAATGGTGAAATATATACCTTGAATTCTCCGAGATAAAAATCTTTTATTTCTTGTGAGACCCTTTTCCAATTAATTCCATTAGGATCAAGTTCACTCTTGAAAGACTCACATATCCTAGTAGAGCAAATATTTGAAGGTTCCAAACTAGAAAAAAAATTGAAAAATATTATATGAAGTCTATAATGAAAAAATTACACTATATAAATATCAATAGTGCAAGTACAAACTTACCCGGAATGAGAAATAAAAACAAGTGTCTGCTGTCCAGAATTAGTATGGCTCTCACCTTCACTTATTGTGTTGTTCTGGCTAGATGTAGTCGCCTCCCTTATCACATTTCTTTGAGTAGATGCACTTTTGCCTATTGCATTGCTCTGATTAGATATTATAGGAGGTGTTTCAAAATTAACAGATGGAGTACTACCATGAGCTGATGTTTGAACAGGAGGAGAACTAGTAGGAGCTAATGTTTGAAATTGGTTATTTTGATCTGGTCCAGCAGAAGAATTGATACCACCTTGATGTGAATTAGTTATGGGAATGGGAACAGTAGGCATATTAACTCGACTTGTGCTACCTCGAACTCTAATTAAGGTCTTGCTTGCACGAGTTGTGTTACCTCGACCTCTGCCTCGCGTCATATCTACAAGAAAAATAACTTTGAAATTGCATAGGCCTATACATTTCCAAACTAGAGAAGGAAAAGAAAAGAAAATTTTACATTGCAACTAAGAAAGATTGATCAGATCATTACATTGCAACTGCAACCACAATATTTATTTTCAAACCAACTGAAGTTACTAAGCAGCAAGCAATTAATAGTCATGCTCTACTTCTTTTAAACCAACTGAAGTTACTAAGCAGCAAGCAATCTTTTTTTATGAGAAGTCAGATTTTTTAGAGGAAGAAAATCCAGAATTAAAAGCACACTAGAAACGAACATGGTAGTTTTTTAAAGGAACAAATTAAATAATACCGACTCTAATGATACCTGGCAAGTAGATCATATCATCAGAGACATCAATTAGCTGAAAATTCAAGAAGACTTTACCTTTGATCATGATTGACAAAACATCATCAAAGCAACCTCTTACAACATCATCACAGGGATGTATTAAACTATCAGAAACAGAGACACAAAGAGTTAACTAAAAGAAAATCGACATACAACAATCATCTAACAAAACCTGACCAAGAACTTGAGTATAGTTAGTACTCACATATAAAATATGTCTAGAAGCATATTGTTTCTTAAAAAACAGTCAGTGAAAACATTAAGTTTAGTATGATTCACTGAGCAGAAATTTGCATCCAAAACATAGTACTATAAACAAAAGTCACTAAAGATACAGTAGCAGATTTCTATCAATACACTAGTCTGTATCTATTTCATCTTCGAGCTCCTCATCCTCATCCTCATCCTCCCCATCTTCAGTTTCATCCTCAGTTTCACCTTCATCTTCTGTAGATTCTTCTTCTAATTCATGGTGCTCTAATAACAAACCATCATTAATTGGCTCAGCCATTTCAATTGTCTCCCCATTTGGATCATGCAGAGGTATATCTTCATCAACAGTAATATTCATATCTATCTCATGGACTTCAACTTCTTCAACTTGGAATGGAAGATTTGATTCTGGTATTTTGATCCCTCCCTCATCAGGTGATTCAATAACATCTCGAGGTCTGACTTTTAATACAGCTAACCAATCATCCTTATCCCTCTTTGTGCTAGGATAAGGCATATAACACACTTGAGTTGCTTGCATTGCAAGAATAAAAGGTTCATATTTTTAAATCGGCGACGATGATTAACATCGACCAATTTATATTGATTGTGCTCCTTAACACCAACATTCATTGTTGGATCAAACCATTCACACTTGAATAATACAGCTTGCTTTAAAGGTGCTCTACGATATTCCAATTGTATAATTTCTTGTATCTTTCCATAGTAATCACCAACATTTGGATCAGATATACAAACTCCACTGTTCGTTGTTGATCTTACACTACCGCGATGTATTGTGTGAAACTTGTATCCATTAACAAAACACACTGGATAAGCGCATGCACTTATTAGTGGTCCATGAGCAAGACTACTCAAGTATTCATTTTCAATATGGTTGGATCGAACCTAGTTAAAATATTATAAAATTTAGTCTAAATTCACAAGATAATTTTAAAAAATCATTTTTTTAAAAATAATAGTGATTGTTTGAGGCTTACATATTCCTTGAACCATATAGCAAAATATGATTCGAGACTCTCATCTATTTGATCTTGAGGTAGATTCGGGAACTCTTCTTGCAAACGTTGCACGTACATGCTTCATTTCAACAAAATAAGTTATATAGAAAGTCACAATGTATGGTCAATTTTTTTATTTTAAATAGGTATAAGATTAAAATTTTACCTCACAAACGGATCAACCTCTTGACAATTTAGTAGAATATAAGTTTGGGCAGCCTTAATTTCTTCAAGAGATAAATCTCTTTTTTTTGCTTCTCCCGATAGCCTGCTTGGATGGGTGAATATTGATAAGTTTCCTTCAACATCTTTCATAGCACCACCATCATCGTTACGGGTCACATTATGATGACGTGACATAACATGAGGTTCAAAATAATGAGAAAACAATTGTGTTGACTCTGCCATCAAGTACGCTTCACAAATGGAACCTTCAACACTAGCTTTGTTCCCAATCATATTTTTCAGAGTTCGTAGGTACCTATAGAGGTAAACAATGAATTTATAATTTCTTGTCTAGCATACTTTTCACCATAGGATAAAAATTAATTTACATTTACCTCTCAAAAGGATACATCCATCTATATTGTACAGGACCAGCAATTCGTGCTTCATATGGAAGGTGCACTGGTAAATGTTCCATTGGGTTAAAGAATCCAGGAGGAAATATGCGTTCCAACTTACGCAAAATTTGTGGGATGTGTACCTCTAATCTCTCCAAGTCCACCACTCGAAGAGTAGTTGAAGTAAGATCTTTAAAAAATAAACTCAACTCTGTAAGAGCCTGCCACACATTACTAGGAAGTAACTCACGAAAGGCAATTGGCAATAGTCGTTGCATGAACACATGACAATCATGACTCTTCATCCCAAATAGCTTAAATTTTTCCGTGTCAAGGCATCGACTCATATTTGAAACATAACCATCTAGAAACTTCACACCTTCCAACCAATCAAACAAGACCTTTTTTTTATCCTTGTTTATTGTATATGCAGCTTTAGGATAGCTTCCATCAGGATTCCTTGCCAAATTTGTCCGATTGCAATATTTTACAACATCTAGACGTGCTTTTGGATTGTCTTTGGTTTTGCCATCAACATCAAGAACAGTGTTAAATACATTATCAAAGACATTCTTCTCAATATGCATGACGTCAAGATTATGTCGTATCATATTAGAACTCCAATAAGGCAAATCCCAAAAGATGCTTCGTTTTTTCCATCCACAAGACTTACAAATTCTTTTATTAACTTCTTTTGCATCTAATTCAGTTACTTTCCTTATCCCCAACTCACATAATTAATTCAAAATTTCCTGTCCTGTTCTTACAGGTGGTGGCAATCTGGTGACAATATGACCTTTAAGAAAGTTCTTACGATCTCTCCTAAATGGATGATTTTGGTCAAGAAACATTCTATGACTATCAAACCAAGTTGTCTTCCCACCATATTGTAATCTGAAGGATTGTGTTTCCTCCATACAATAAGGGCATGCTAAGTTTCCACTGGTACTCCATCCTGATAACATAGAATATGCCGGAAAGTCATTGATAGTCCACATCAAAGCTGCCCGTAATTGAAAATTTTGCTTTTTTGAGATGTCAAATGCTTCCACACCTGTCTCCCACAATAAAGTCAATTCCTTTATTAGAGGTTGTAGATAAACATCAATATTTTGTTTAGGATTGTGTGGCCCTGGAACAATGACAGTTAAGAACATGTAAGCCTCCTTCATACACATCCCTGGGGGCAAATTATATGGAGTGACAATCACCGGCCATGAAGAGTATTTTCTTCCAGATTGAGCAAATGGCTGAAATCCATCAGTACATAACCCCAACCTCACATTCCTTGGTTCAGAAGCAAAAAAAGAATGGGTTTCATTAAAGTGCTTCCAAGCCTCAGAGTCTGATGGATGACGCATTACCCCCTCTTCTTGTATATGCTCATGATGCCATCTCATGTCGGCAGCTGTAGCATGAGATGCATATAATCTCCGCAATCTAGGAATAAGAGGAAAATAATACATTTTTTTGTAAGGGACCAATTTTCTCTTACGAGAACCAACACGACGTTTAAACCTCTCATAGCCACAAAATTTACAAGATGTTAGGTCCTTATCATCTTCCCAATACAACATACATCCTGAATTACAACAATCAATTTTTTCAACAGGCAAACCCAAGCTACGCACTAGCTTCTTGGTTTGATAATAACTATCGAGAACCTTGTTATCTTCAGGTAATGCCTTTTTCAATAGTTGCATCACTTGATTATAACCCCTCTGTGACAAAGTATTCTCCATTTTAATAATTAGCATCCTAGAAACTACGGCAAGTTGAGAGATGGAAGAACCAGGATACAATTCTGCATCAGCGGCTTGAAGTAAATCATAAAACCTTTGCGACTCAAGATTAGGTTCCTGCTCCATTGAAGGATTAGTATGTTCCTCCATTGGAGGTTCACAATGATGAGACGACTCAGGTTCGTCATTATTATAAGATTGCCAACTCGAACCCTGACCAAAGTTTGATCCAGCTGCATCCAAAACCATTTGGCGATATGGATTATCATATCCCAATCCAGGTTGTGTATCATTAGGTAAATCAATAGACATCTCATCGATCACTTCTTTTTCTCCTTGATACGTCCAAACAAAATAGTTCTCAACAAATCCAAAACGAAAAAGGTGTAGTTTAATAGTTTCAACATCCATGTATTTAATGTTGTGGCATTTTTTACATGGACATCTAACTTCGTCACCACTCATGCGGTTTCTATGAGAATATGCAAACTTGAGAAAGTCATTTACACCGGCTATAAAACTAGAATTAAGAGCCCCTCGACCATCTAATCTCGTGTACATCCAACTACGGTTTATATTATCCATACTCCTATTTAATGTTAAAAAAACACAAAACAATTAGAGTTATTTACAAAATTAGAATTGAAGCAGTTACATCTGTTTGTGCTTTTATTTTAACAAATTCAGAAAACTAAGTTTCCAGTTTTTACAGCATCATAAAACAGCTATATCAAACCACCAGAAACTTAAATAAAAAGTGTTCCCTAAAAGAAAATTCACATACAACAAGTTGTTGTTTACTTACCACAAAAATTAACAAGTTAACAGAACTAGTAGTGTAATGTTAGAATGAAAAGAAGTACTACATTTTTATCTAATATTGCGTCGGATTAACCAGAAAACAACAGAGAGCAAGGGAAGGGGGAAAGTCTAGCTTATGTCGGTTTCACTAAGTTTCATATATCAAACAGTTAAACAAAAATAAACAAAACAATATGATGGAATGATATCTGTTTATTGAGATTTTAGAATATGTCATGTTTAATGTACATCAACTCATATACAATTTCATTACTCTATTATGTAAAAAATCTGGAATACATTAGGAAAAAAAATACAGACATTTGTTTCCGTCTCTTCTTTAAATACAGGTATGCACTTACACTAACACATTGTTTTGTTACTTTTCTTTGCACCATACACATTGTTTTGTTATGTTTCTTTGTACGTAGTAAGCACTAAAATAGTAGAAAAATTATCTTTTGATTTTCAAAAGTAACTTTCGATTTTAGAAACAAAGGAAACTAGAGTTAAAAACCTAGACCCATTTCTTCAATCACACCATCAACCCCAAAGAAATTTCTCCATAAAATCAAAAGGGGAAAGCTTTAAGATCTAAAATTATCAAATAACTACAAATAGAAAATATTTTTTACCCATAACAAGAAAAGAAAAAATAGATCCTTCAAAAAGATAAATAAAAAATTCAAAGAGTAGTGCAGATAATAATAGTGACCATTGTTACCCTAACTAAAAAATATCAGAAAAAAGATGATGAAGAGTGCTGCAGATGAACCAGAGATGAAATAATTATAAAATTTTAGATAATAATAGACACTATTGTTACCTTTTGATGAACCAACAACAATGAAATTGGTTTTCCTTAGAGTAACGAGCAACAACAAGCAGCAAAGAGGAAGATGAGCTCGAATTTCCTTCCCAAAGAGCAACGACCGATGATTTTGGCAAGGTTCTATTCCCACAGAAGGCGCTGCTATGTATGTGTATTTAGTGCGGAGAGTGAGTGATTTAATTTGTGTGAGTGAGATTTGTGCCCTAGAAATTTTTTAATATAAGATAGCGACGAAAAATTCCGTCGCTATGAAATTCCATCGCTATGTATCACACTATAGTTTAAAAAGAAAGGTAGTCACAATAAAAAATTTAATAGCAAAAAACTCAATTAAATTAGCGACAAAAGATCCGTCGTTGATTCCGTCGCTAACACTTAAATGTAGTGACGGATTTAAGTTTATCGCGATTTCCGTCGGTAATTATCTAATTTAATAGCTAAAATAAAGACGCCAAACTTTAGCGCCTAAATTTAGTGATGGATTTTAGTTTTTGTCGCTATTTCGTCGCTATTTTAGTTCCCAATATTTCATTCGATAATTTAGCGACCAATTTATTTTTCCGTAGCTAATCCGTCGGTATTTAGCGACAGAATATTGTTTGTCGCTATAATCGGTCGCTAAATGCTGTTTTTTTTGTAGTGACATAAGACATAGAAATAATGCGGAAAATTTAAAACTTTTACAATAGAAGTCCAACTTCATTTTTCATAAAGGAAAAATCATAGGAATCTAGACTTTGTCTCATAAACCATCTAAAACATAGGAATACAAAGTTTGGAACTTAGCCCTTTACATCATTAAAAGTCTCATTATGAGAAGTACAATAGAAACTAAGAAATGGATAATCCGTCTTCGAACTTGAGGACTCACCACAACTTGGAGATAGACAATCCAAGTCTTCTTCAAGAAAGGAAAATGTAAGCCACCTAGCCGGAACCTACACTTATCAAAATGTAGAGGAAGAAGGGGTTATCACAAATATGTACTAAGTATGGAAACATGCATAAAATCCTTGAATATGCTAAAAAGACATTTTAGTTGAAAAGTATGCATTTGTCAAGTTTGGAAACCAACATGCATTTACAGTGTACATCACAAGCCAAAAATCACATTCATACTCATTTCATAGTAAAGCCATTACCTTAGTAACCCCTAAGGAACACTTGTGCAATGTGTGGTTGGCATCCCATAATACCAACCCTACTAAGTACCCCCTTGAAGCTACCTTGGTCATGCATATCATCTTTATACCTCATTATAATCATTAGTCACAAATAAGGAAAATAGTCATGTCTAAGTACTCCTTTGAAGCTACCTTAGTGATGCATTACATCTTTAGACTTCATTATATGCAATATTCACAATAAGGAAAATAGTCATGTACATTACTTGAATATAAGGAAAGCCATTCACAACAACTATCCATTCAACACATATGCATACACGTGTATCTCATCATAATATAAAGGAACCATCCCACAACATCCTACAAAGTCTACTTGTGCAATGTGGGAGTGAAGTCCCATACCCCCACTCCTACTAAGTAAACTCACCAAGAAGTCATAGTGTAGTTCATGTCTCATTCATTAACTTCATTATATAGGGAAAGTAGCATTAACCGACATAGACCATGTGAGCTACATGGAATCCGGTGTTCTACCCCCACACTGAAAAGAGGGTGTCCTACTTGCCTAAGGTAGAACTATGGTGATAACTTTTAGGTGGATCCACTAGCTAAAGTTCTATGTGGGCACATAGTTATGGGATAAGGAGATTGCTACTAGAAACCCGGACTTCTAGCGTGAAAGGTTTCCATCTCATGAGACAACCTATGTTGGGAAGCCGGACTTGCTAAACATAAAAGCTTCCTATCTCATTGTTCATATCCTCTCGATGCTAAGCCGATTTCCCTTTAAAAGTCATATTAAGTCTTTACTTAGGTTTATGTTCAATAGAGAATGCACTAGGCACTCAAACCAACATTTATCATAATATCTCATAGATTCATTAAGTGAGAATGTCCTTTCACTTTAGAATCATCAACATGTGAGTAAACCTTTCACATTACCATTCCTAGTGTTTTCATGAGAACTAGCCTTTCAATCAACACATCCACATCATCATCATCCTAGACAAGTCATACAAGAACATGTGTAAAGGGTAAAGGGGAGAATAGCCTTTCAACAATACCTCAATATACACAATAGTCATAGGTATCTTTACCTTTTAAAGTTGAATCATAGGTTCACATACAATTTTCATCAATCATGAACAAACCTTCACAATTTACTCCCTTCAAGGGTCATAAACCAAGTCTCACAATCACACTTAGAAATACTACTTTAAGCATTAAATAAACAAGATTCAATACTAGATTAACATTGACACAATTCATAGTGATCATCTTGCATCAATACACCCATCATAATTCATGAAATTAGGGTCATGGGATAGTTCATGGGTTCATGGGGAGTTTTACAATAAAAATCACCATTAAACGTCAAATCATTCATAATATAAGACAAATAACATAATGAAATCGTTTTTAGGAAGAACCCATGGTTAGAATGAAAACCCTAGTTTTTGAACAATATCCCAATTTCGAAATTTGAGTTGGAAGGATTTCATGGAGAAAAGTGTTCCATGAATCAAGGTTCCCATACCTTAATTGATGTTTTCCCACAAAATTGGAGTGAAAATCTTGGAGCTTGAACCTTAATCTTGACCTTCTTCTTTGTTCTTCAATGGAGTCTAGAGAGAGAATCTTTTGGGGGAGGGAAGTTGGTTGAGTTTGAGTTTGTGAGTTATGAGAGTTAAAAGGGTTGTTTAATAGTTAAAACTACTTATTTAAGTCCTAAAAAACTAATTTAAACTGTCCCTATTTTTTATTAAATAAAATAGAGCTTACCTAATTTAATTGTTCTTGGCAGATTTTAAGACAACATGGCAGCCCGTACCTACGAGACCTTCACCTACGGACTGTAGGTGGGGTGACGCCACTTCCTGCACACTCGTGCTTTGCATCAGAGAGGGGGAAGATCATGGCAAGGTGAGGAGACTAAGTCTCAACCCACGACACCCACCTACGGTCTATAGGTTGGGTGACTCCACGTACTGCATAGTCGTTGTAACGACCCGAGAGCACCCCATAGTCGTTACCGGCGTATTCGACCTCTCGGAGGTCTTATACAAGCCCTTAGCATTTGTCATAGCATTTATCATAGAAAAATAGCAAAAAATTTAAAACTTTTTCATAATATAACACAAGACTTAAAAAGTCACCTCATTTAAACCTTTAATACAAAATCGGAGTACTACGTCTCAAGGTAGCCATCTTAAAACACGACTACAACACAAGAGGGACACATCCCTTACAATACAAAAGAAACTACTATCTAGTACATTGAACTGAAGGAAACTCTTTAACATAAAGGTCCTTGAATCTTTAAGGACACACCCGAACTTGGGAATAGTAAGCCAAGATCATCACTTCTAGGAAAGACCTTTTAGCCACCACCACCTACACTTGGTGTAAAGAGATGAAGAAGAATGGTGTTAGTACAAGAATGCACTAAGTATGATAACCATGCAAAAACATGCTTTTAAAAGGAACATTTAGTTG